CTGAGCATATTGCCATGGTAATGTGCTCCAGAGCAGGTTATGTTAGCGATAAGAGATCAGCCTTCACAAACTCACCTCCTGCTGACCAATCAGTTCACTTGTTTCATCAATCCCAAAAGATTTCCTGAACCTCTGTGAGCTAACGTTAGATTCTAAAGTTATAGAAACAATCTAAAGTATTTGTCTTTATGTGATGAGAACCAACAAGAAATATGGATCCTTAGGAAAACATATTCCCCTCCAATAGCTGCAACCAAGTTTAAAAAACTTTAATTGGCGCAGAAGCCTTGAAATAGCAATATAACCCAAAACAAGGCAAATCTGACCTTTGCTACTTGTCAATCTTGCAAAAAATCTGTATGTCAGCCTCCTAGTTGGAATTTTGCTCTAATATTTATTCCTTAGTTGTGCTCAGACTATCCAGCACCACCTGGGCTGCCCCTGAAAGAAGCGAGTTGAAACTGTCTCACACACCACATGAATGTTTTCATCGCAGGAACATGTTCATTTGTAGTTTAGTGTCTAAGTCAGACCAGAATACCCAGTTGTAATCTTAATGATGGGTTTGTAATTAACTGAAACAGTTTCCAGTCATACAGGCCACTCATAGCCTCCTCCTCTGCTGCATTGTCATATAGGCTCCTAGAAAACATGAGGGAGGGAAGAGGGATAATGAAGTACAGGTGAACTCAATCAAGGTGCTAACGAGGGGTGGGAAAAGGAAGGGGGCAACATGTGGAACCTGGCTTGAAAGTTAAACAGGAAGTAAAGTGAAAGATGCTGCAGCCACAGACGGGGAAACCAATAAATCAAACAGATGTGGAAAACATTGAGGAACACGGAGCTCCTGAATGCCTCCACCTGCAGGGCACGAGTGCTCACTCAGAGGTTTCATGAGCTTGTCTCGTGAATTTTATTCTGTTGCCTTTATAGTTGTCGCAACGTAACCTGCCTAGGGGATTTTTAAAGACGCTTGAAAGCATTGCACTCTTCTTTTAACTCTGGTTTTGGTATTCGGTAACTGTTGAACAAATGGACTGGTACTTTTTTCCCGAACCTTTCTGCTCTTACTGCGCACTTAAAGCACCTTTACACTGCAAACCAGATTCACACATTCTAAAAGCACACTTTTCTGCCACTAAACATTTTACCTGTCTTCGACACGCTCATACATCACTGAATGGTTCAGTATATAGTCCAAGGACATTCGTGACTTTCAAATCAGAGGAGCCAAGGATAAAAAAAAATAACGTGCCACCCTCCACCTCCAGGAGCCATGGGCACCTGCTTTTGCTGCAGATGCAAAATTAGTCTAAAGAGAGCAGTTATATAAAATCAAAACTTTCGTAATAGTGCACAGAATGGCACTGAAACACTTCATATAGCTGAGAGGAACTGCGGAGTTTGAACATAATTATCTGTAGGTTTCCCCAGATAAACAGAGCCTTTGAAATTATAATCATCAAAGCCATTGTCGTAAAAAAGAAAAAGATTACTGCAGCTTGAAACTTTGGTTTGAGTGCCACAGATCTGGATTGGATTGGATCTGAAAATTGAAAAGTATTGTGAGGCAAACTGACTGACTGACTGGTATATTGACAATAACCAAAACCAATATTTGCAGCCTCATCTCCACCTGTAAAATTGCTCCTAATCCCTCACTATAACACTTCAGTGAATACATCTGTATGCTTATGAGGAAATAATTTCTGCTGCCTCATTGTTTCTTTACACAAACTGGCATTGAATAGCACATTTCATCTCAATTTGCCAGAGGAAACGTCACTCGACTGACATGAAGAGTGATTGAACGGTGCAGTGTTATTTACTGCAATAGCTGCTATTAACTCTTTTGTGCAGCGATCTCTGCAGATAATGAAACGTCTGTTAAGTGTTTTAGATTTTAGAGTGGCTCTTTAGTGCAAAAGCTGATGATTGATTTCTGCTTAGAGGCGAGCACACTACTAAGCGAATCAAGTTAAGTGCAGAGCATTCGTAATCTCCATTGATATATCTGTAAAAAAAATAAAAAAAACACACAGTGATGAGAGCTGTTTGTTTAGGTCCTAACTTTACTGTGGGACTTAATGAACCCTTTGTTGCTGGACTGTAATAAAAGCTGCTCAGTTTAAACTGTATCAGCAGCAAAGTGAATATGATTTACACTCGACTCTCGGTGATAAAAGGTTGGATTCACTACCGTCTAGTAGCAATTTATTTCTGTATTCCCTCTATTTCATTTTGCCCACCGTCAGATAATCATTAGATCATCTTTTTTTCTTCTTCTCCTCTTAAAACTGTCACATTGGTAAGTAATGGATACTAATGGCGCCGTTTCCATCATTTTCTTCCTGGTTGAATCTCTGGTGTCTAATTATGTGAGTAAGCATCATTAGTCATTAGAGCATAACATCATCTTCTATGTTGAGTTGAGCATACTTTATTTAATGTTAATGAATAAATATTCTCAGAGGGCTCTGTCTGAATTGGATTTGCACACGTATGATTTTCTGCCTTATCAAGTTCGGCCGAATTAAATGAGTCATCTTGGCTGAGACCGAGTGGGTGAAATTAATGTTTTCACAAAAGTCAGCAGTATTTTTAAGCGTTTTTAAAGAATAAATGAAGAAGTCTTTGAGAATAAAAGTAACACAGAGTTTAGGATCTTTTGTTTTTGGCTCTCCTGCACTTTGGTTTCTAATATTGTCCTGTTTTCCCTAATGCGTCCTGACACAGTAGTCTGGAGTAATGGCTCTGAAATGCTACACTGAATCGATGCCTGGTGCCTTTTCCTCTCTTAGGTAATTTACTTGGTAATGAGAGACGGTGCGGAAGACTGTCTCTGTGTGCCCTGAGAAGATGTAATCTGTTTTCCCTATGATTCAGCTCAGTTAGAGAGACTTGGACTGCTAATTAATTAACTATGAAACACTGAAATAGGATTTCACTGAAGGGCTTAATTTGGGTAATCGCTGCCCCTCACCTTTCAGTTGCTTCGGTGTATGTTACTTGAACCTTGTAATGGTCACAAAAGCAGATTATGTCATGTCTGGAATGAAAACCATCGTACGTACGCGTGTGTGTAGGAAGCCGTAAGGCGTGCATGTGTGGACGCGTGGGGCTTATATTCCCTGTTGTCCATAAAGCAATTTGTATCAATCAGTGTTGATCTAAATGACCCATCGTGTCAACAGCAAACCTGCGTGAGAGTGGTTTTCAGTGCTAGAGATAAGGGCAAAAAAGCCATTTTGTCTGTCATAAAGGAAGTATTGTCTGGATATTGATGTCATTTATTACTTGACAAGGGTGGCTGGTGGGAAAAAGGGGTAAAGCACAGCCCTAATGCACTGAGAAGATTGAGAACGAGGATAGCCATGATGGAAAAATCAATTAACCTTGGCCTGAAAGTGAACTGCTTGATCTTTCAGCACGATTTTATTTGTTGACAAATATACCATCTGCTGTTCTGTAGATAAGGGGCTCGACACTCTGTGTGTGCTTAGGTGTGTGTGTTCAATTTGGCCTTGGACAGAGCGTCCCAAGCATGCATACGAATAACCACTTTTAAAAAATATATACATATGTGTGTGTGTGTATATATACATACGTATGGATATATGTGCAGAAAATTTGCACATGAAAAATCAGTCAGTGGGAGAATATGCATGTAGCAGGTCTCCTGCAGAAGCTTTTTAAGTGCATAGTATTTCTGTACTGGCTGTTTTTTAGAGTATGCTTTGCACATATAAATTCATATAATTTTTTACACAATTTTTATTTTTATCGGGTTTTGGAAATTAATCAAGAAGGAAAATATATGATGCACTGCAGATTTCACGACTTCTCTGCAATGTGGGGTTTCCATAGTGGCTCCAGTAAGACACGTTGGTCAGATGCTTTTTTTTGTAAAATAGGATACTGGATGGATAATAAGCACATTTCGTATGGGCACCAACCTCTGCTATTTATTTTACCTCTCATTTTAATTGAAGATAACGACTTAAATTATTGTTTTGCCTTAATTGGTTCCACCCTTTTCTCTTCCAAGTATTTGACCTGATGTGAAACAATGCCATGCCCAGATATCAGACACATGTTTACATCAGAGCCAAACCTGTGGCACTCGAGTTTGAGGAGTGCTCCTTCAACACGCAGCAGAATCCATAAACATCCTCCCTCCTCTGCTCTAATAACCACTTCCTCGCCACACACTCGCTCAAAGTGACTAAGAAATCAGGCGATAGCAGGAAGCCAGACGCAGCTGAAGTGGGGGGGGGCATATTCAGAAGGCTTAACCCAGCTTATTTTTGGCATCCTCTTCTCGATATCCTTCTAAGTTATTTGATTTTTCTTACTCACAGCAATAAAAATATGCTGAATATACAGAATCAAGGTTTTTCACAATCAATTTTCACTATACAAATGGTTGTTTTTAAAAGATTTAACTATTAATAATTAATACTACAAGTAATGCATTAAATATCTGCAAGGATTTAATATTGAATAAGCTGCTACACCATTATTGGACATAATTCTTCATTTTTTAAATTATGATCAATTTTTTTCTTGTTGGCAAATATTTATATATTTTGGATTTTATCGCTTTCCCCTTATTCTCTCTCACAGTGCAAAACACAATTATCACACAGTTCCTTTGTCTCTGTATATGACTTTTCAGACACTTATCTTCCAGTAAAAGCTTGCATTCTCATATCAGCATCGAGTCAAATTATCATGCAGTACTTTCTGTACATAATTTGTATTTGCACAGCTAATCCTCGGCTTTACGTCGTTTTAATTACTAGGCAAAATGTTTTAGAAGTATGATTCAAGCCTCATTTAATCCTCTTTTAGATTTTGAGGTTATTTTTCTTTCACGGATCACTTCCCTGGCCTGAAACTCACTTCCTGTGAGGAAACTGCAAACATCTCGTAGGTGAAAATCCGGTCGTGGCCTCTGCTGCATGGCTGAACGCGTGATATCTTTTCTGTTTCTGCAGGTTTTGGGATGACGACACCTGTGACAATTGCAGGCAAAGTTTTCCTGATCTTTTACGGGCTTCTGGGCTGTGCCGGAACCATCCTTTTCTTTAACCTCTTCCTGGAGCGCATCATCACACTGCTGGCTGTGGTGATGAAGGCTGTGAGGGAGAGGCGAATCAGGAACAGCGGCCTACTCCCACCAGGCATCCGCCATGACTTCTCAGCCTACTCCCTGCCAGGATGGAAGCCCTCGGTGTATCACGTGATGCTGATACTTGGCCTGTCAGCCATCACCATCTCCTGCTGTGCATCAGCCATGTACACGCCCGTTGAGGGCTGGGCTTACTTAGACTCTCTCTACTTCTGCTTTGTCACCTTCAGCACCATTGGCTTTGGGGACTTTGTCAGCAGCCAGAGCGCGGCTTACGAATACCAAAGCCTTTACAGGGTGGCCAACTTCTTTTTCATGCTAATGGGTGTGTGCTGCATCTACTCGCTATTCAATGTTATTTCTATTGTCATCAAGCAGGTGCTCAATTGGATGCTGGAGAAAATGAGCTGCCTGTTTTGCCAGCGCTGCAATAACGCTAATGCTTTCCTGGGCAGACGCAATGCCATCCGCCCGGGTTCCAAAAGTCGCCAGCGTCGGTTTGGTCAGCCGCCCGACTCAGACGGACCTTGTGACAGTGACACAGAGGGCCGCAGATTATCGGGGGAGATGATCTCCATGAAAGACCTGGCAGCCTCTAGCAAAGTGTCGCTGGCCATCATGCAGAAGCAGCTGTCTGAGTCTGCCAACGGATATCCCAGGACAGTATGCGGCAGCTCACGCCATAATGGTTTCTCTGGGGGGGTTGGTGCTCTGGGTATCATGAACAACAGACTGGCAGAGACAAGTAACTCCAGATAGAAGGTGTGGGGGGCACTTTACACTCGTACTGTAATAAGAACCCAGAAGTTGATCGCCATATAAAAACACAACAAGTTTTGTCTAAGGTTTTTTTTTTTTCTCGAAAGAGATTGCCAGTGTAATATCGACATGCATGATACATATGATTTTTTTAAATACTTTTGGTTGGCCTGTGATAATACAGGTATGATAATAATGGTGATGATTTTAATGATGATTTGGTGATCATGGTGGTGGTGATGGCATGAAGAGAGAAGCACAGAGTCATCAATAATAAACATGAACTGACCTGGAAGCATGGGAACCAACAATCGCCCATTGACCTCAGTCCCAACCCAGAACAAACTGAGTCTCAGACAAAGTCTCTTATATATCAGTGTTATTCTGCAGAGGACACCGTCTGCTACACTCGCTCTATACTATCAGACTTATACAACTTTAATGACGTGCTGTAAAGCAGTCAAGGGAAACGTTCAGCACAGCATTTACTGTTTGAGGTTTTGCCAGTTTATTTAAATGTGCGCACTGAATGTTGATGTAAAAGGAGCGTAATCGCCGAATGATATAGCACATACTGATCTATGCATTATATGTTTCTCATGCATTTTTTTGCACCATTCCTTCGATTGCGCAGAGCCCCACCCCCCACTTGTTTTTCTCATCTATCCTCAGGTGATTGATTTCATTTTTGTTCCTCTTGCATTGCTCAACATGGAGAAAAAGAACAGAGTTGAAGAATGAAAATCCATTTCTGGAAAGAAAAAAAAAAAGGAACTGGTCCTCTTATCAGCTAAGAACATGCTTCAGCGGCCAAAGACTTTGACTCAAAGGGTAAAAGAGGGCACCTTCCCAACTCCGTCTCTCTCCTCTCTTTTTTTTAAAGCTTACAGCTGTCTGCGAAGGGAAGTAAACGATAAAGCTTTTCTAATTGTTCGTCCACTGCAGCATGCAGACATGTATTTGGAGAGCTGAATAAATAAGAAAAAGCTTTATGGATTTATAAGGTATGTATAAGAAAGTGGAAGGAGTTTGACAAGCAAATTAATTGCATGTGGCTTTATTCCATGGGCACATTATGTTAAATGATGCAGACTGAGCACGGCCGGGTCAGTCGTAGTCGCTAGACTGAAAACTGATTCATCATTGTAAGGATTTGTTTTCACTGATGGATGCTTTTTTTTTCTTTTTTGTGCATTTTGAGTGAAAAAAAAAAAGGAAGAAGAAGAAGAAGAAGAAGAAGAAGAAGAAGAAGAAGGCCTAAAGTCCTGCAAAGATTGATTTTTTTGTCTTGAGTTCAGCATAAAGTGCAGCCAAGGTTTTATGGATGGAGGATGTTTGCGGAGGATATGGTTGCCCTGTCAGGCTCACGATCAATGTCCCTGTTGCCGGCAACTATCTATTCTGAAGCGGCGGTGTGTGTGTGTGATTTAAAGCCACGTGATGGCGTTTGATGTTTGTAAACAGCGTGACAGAGGAGGAGACATTGATAGTTAAACTGTCCGGGACACGTTGATGAAGAGGAGGAAAGCAGAGAGAAAAGAGGTGGCCAATGCAAATCGATGGTCTCTCTCAACCAATGGCTCAACTCTCCCATCTTCAGCATCTGATTGCCCCCCCCCCATGTCATCTCTGCATTCACTTAACGCACACTGCACCAGAACTCTCCCGCTTCCTTTTTACTTGCAGATCTCGTCTCTCTCCTCACGCCCATCACTCTTACACTGTGAATATGAGACATATATATATATATATCATTACGAAGCGCTTTTACAGTAAGGCGTGATTTAGATCTGGATCTTTCCTTCCATTGATTTTTATCATTCCTGTGCATAGATCTGAATAATTTGGTTTTACTCCCCAGTGTCACCAAGAGGAATAGAAAATGACTCAGGTAGTTAAATCTTCAGGCTCGTCTTAGTTTCTCCCGCATGCCATTATGGTGAAGCCATACAAGATAGCTGTATATAAAACTAGAGTACTCTTTAAAGTCTATTTTTCTACATATAGCTTTCGAAATGTCTACTCGTGGATGATTGAAAAAGTCTCACTGTCACATGTCTCTCACACAGTCGGTCAGCAGATTGACAGGTACAGCATCCAGAGTTTAACTACCCCTATGGAAAATGAGCATGTTGGAAAAACAAACAAAACACAGATGCTTTTCCAGATGTTTGGCATTTTGTGAAATGCACATATTTACTTTTGTGTTTTGACAGAGTTTTAGATGAGATGACTGATGCCAAGCTCACACCGAGTGTTACCAGTGTGCTCATTTACCTCTCTGCAAGACAGCAATTGCATGTAATTCCCAAAATGTCCGTTTATTATTTTAACGGTTCCCAACAAGGCAGCTCATGAACAAGGAAGCGAGCAGTGTGTAGGTGATGTGGCACATGCAGCTGCAGAATCGTCATGATTTGTGCACATATTTCTGATAGGAATAGAAAAGTAAGTATTAAACCCTGGGACATTTGAGCAGGAGCATGGGCATGTTGTAGCAAATGATATACTGCAGTTTGAATTCAGTGGTGTTACCCTGTTTTACAGTATGTCCAAGGGGAAAAGCACTGCTGCCACTTCTCTAGACTAATGTTTCCTAAATGATGTGTTAACCTTCATCTCCCCCCTGGGGCTTAAGGCTACAGTGGTAGAGGTTTCAGGAATGCTTCTATAGCTGTCAGCTGTGCTGTATCTTTAACCTTACTTTCAACAAGGATCATATGTGTTTGTATGCATTTGTGTATCCAAAGAAGAGTGTAAAGAACAGAGAACAGGAATCCAAGGACTATCATATGTTAAGCATTATCCCCCGAAAAGTTACGTGACTCAATATAATATCAATTAAAATGTCATTTCCTTAGGCGTGACACATCAGGCTGTTATAACACTGAATATATTACTTAGAGTAATGTTTGCTCATCTAAAAATGCATGCATGGCTTGAAATCAATTGCCTTACTTTAGTCCTTGCATATGACAAAGAGGTTCCTTATTGAAACAATTATAGTGTGTAGACCTTGTGTGTTGTACTATACTATCCTTTTGCATTTTGCAAAATTGATCTCCATTGATTGCAATGGTTTTAACTGCCCCGTTGTCCTCTGTATCTTCTGTAAGAGGAGACAGGTGGTCCTAAGATCTACTGTATGTTTGTATTTGTGAACAGCATAAAAGAGTCCTAAATGTGTCAGCTACTTTTCTTTGTATTGTAATATAGTCGTTCATGTTCACATGAAACACGGGCTCGGACTAAAATGACGTAAGCACTATTTGTACATAATATTGACTTTGTAGGTTCTCAGTCATCCAGGTCATGGTAGTCTAAGGAGCATGAAAAAACCTGGACTCCTTTAAGGTTTCTGAAGATGTTTCGTCTGTCATCCAAGTGGCTTCTTCAGTTCTAACACCAAAAGGTTTTAGAACTGAAGGTAGAGAGTTAAAGGATTTAAACCCTAGTGGAGGTTTTACCTTAAGAGAGTTGCTGATGCACTGTTGATTATGTGCATCATCACATGAGCCAAGGAGTGAAAAAGATGTGGGTCATTACCACAGGTACCACAGGTTTTGGGTGAGACCATCATGAGACCTTGCTACACCCCATCATGTGACCTATTGAAGTCAGCTGACACAAGATGTGAGTGAGGGTTGAGGAGCCTGGGTAGAGACCTCAAGACTGCATTGTACCTCTGTTTAACGATGGGCATTCACCGTGGACAAAGATGGCCCTTTTAAGGCATCAGTATACCCACTGTAATAGTTGATTTGCTCCCCACCGCAGCCTCATCAAAACCAGAAGCCATGACTTTGTGTGTTTTTTCCAGAAACTGTCAAGTTTCCAAACAGCTGCAAAATCTCCCTCTGTATATCTGTATGTCTCTGTGCTTCTGTGCTAGAATATTAATAACATGACAGTAAAAACCTGCATGATCAATCCAGCTGCAGCGGCTGCAGCGGAACGTGCCAGGTTACAAAAATCATGAGGTGCAGGACCATCCAAGTTTATATTGTGCGACACGTGTTGTGACGTCAAAATTGGCGTGAGACACCCACAACACAGGCAACACTGTGAGCAGAATGGTCCCATTACTCCTCTTTTTACTCCAGACTTAATAGTGGTCAACGACCCTCCTAAGGGACACCACCCACAAGGGGTGGACTCTCCACCCTTTGGTTGTAGATCCAAAGAAGCCTCTTGGATGAGACGTGATACATTCTGACAAAACTTAAAGAAGTCCAGCTGCCTTCTGTTTTACAGCCAGATTTTATTCACTTCAGAAACAGTCAGGTTAATCACTCCACCTAATTTCCAATCCAAGCAGATCTGGATTACACAGCGGTGACTCCCCATCAGCTTATCAGCAGTTAAAATCACCACTGAGATCATTTATTTTCTGTCAACACATACTGTACTGTATTCACATTCAAAAATTTGCTAATCAGCGGTTATTTGAGTGTGAAATAGCTTAAGTAGAAAGCAACGCTTCAGTGGTCTTTACCAGTCCAATAATGAAAAACAGTTAGTTTGACATTAGAAGAAACTGGAAATGTTGTTAGCGTTGACCTTTAAAGCCGTCGATGGTGCTAATGGCATTATCATTTATTCAAGCAAATTTGTCTGTAATCACAGTATGATGCATAACACTTTGCTCTCTCCAGTTTCTGCTACGGAAGAGTGCACAAACTCTTTTGTATTTCAAGACTGTTAAAGATGCTCGTTTCAGGGGGGGAAACTGTATTATCATCAATTTGGCTGGAACACGCTGGAAATGGCTATTACCAACGGGCAGGTAAACAGCCGAGCAGCTCAGTAACAGAATGATGTATTATTTGCTCAGCTTGGCTGCTTCTGATCTTTAACAAGAGTCCAATTGTTGGCTTTGATCTGGAGCAGAATTTCCAGATTTACAAGACACATGTCCCTGTTAGTTTGTTTTTGTGTGTGTTTTTTAGGAGGGGAGCTGATAATATGGAGCAACAAATGACATTCAGCTCTCACTTTAGAAGCTGCTTTATCTGTCTGTTATTTATGTTGATCCTTAACTCGACTCATGTGAACACGACGCTACACCTTGCTGTGTCTCATGTTGCTTGCAATGTAGTGTAACATCAAGTTAATGTATGCAAATGAATTCTGTTTGCAAGTTGCACATTTATACCAATGATTGTACTTTTATATTTATTAAAAGTAAAACCTATATGAAACAAGAAAGGGTTCCATTAAACACTGATATTTACTGACATGCCTCTGACTGATTGATTTATTATCATGCTCTTCTAATCACTCCCAGCTCAGTACTCCTGGCGATTGTAACACTTAATCCATTACATATGGTATTCATTACACTGACTTTCACTCAGGCTAAAGTAATGGAATTTTAGGCATTTCTGTTTTGTTTATCACCACAAGATATTTCCAATTACAGACTTGAATCTCAGTGCCGATGTGACATGACAGCAGCATAAATTTCACTAATGACTGAAAGCCTCTTTGAGTCTTGTCTCAGTCAACTTGGCAGACTGCAGCACAGACTGCAGATATTTGCTGAGTCCAGTGATTAAATATTATAAGTCAGAAGCCTCATAAAACTAAAGCATGCCTTTTTTTTATGCACACACGTTTTTACCTTTAGGTAGAGTCAAGTTAACTTTCATAAAGAAAACCAACCAATATCATTTTTCTTTAATAATTCAATAAGCAGGACATCACAAACCCCTAACCCCGCTTTGTTATTTATAGCTAAAAACACTTACACCAGTAATTTTAACTGAATTTTGATAAAAATTTACAGGAGATTAGCAATATGTTCAGGAGGAAACATGCAGGTTAAGCTCAATAGAAATCCAAACTAAAGATGTGTGTGTGTGTGTGTGTGTGTGTGTGTGTGTGTGTGTGTGTGTTTCATGCCTGGCAGCCTTGATTAATTTATGGGCGAGTGCTTGTTTCCAGTGTTCTTCTTAAGACTGAGGAAATCTTCCAGTTGACACCAGATTGTTGCACTTACCACTGTTAAATGTTTGACTCAGATTTCAACAATTGTCAATTTCACACCTTTTACTCTCTGTAGACTCTTCCCGGTCCATGGATTGCAACTGCAACTTT